CCACTTTGGCCTTTTTTTTGACCGGTGTGAGCCCGGAGGCCATTTCGGCCATGAAAGTTTTTCGCACAAAATTGTCCGAGCTACCCCGGTGTCTCTACCTGAAGCCCTTCCAACTGGAGGAGGAACTCAGCAAGCTCTGCACAACACATCCCGGTGTCGTCACATGGTGGGATTTTGCACGAGTGTTCAGAAGCTTCAACCCATTTGTTTCAAAGCAGGTCGTGTCCGAGATTTGGACATATATGACCCAATTTATGGCGGAGGGTGAGGAGCTCCAGCTCAAGATTTTTCTTTGGTTTTGCCTTCCCGGAGGGGCGAATTTGCCGCTGGTATCCCAGTTGTCTGTCACAGAAGAGGCGAGGAGGATGGCTCGAGCGGACCTTGAGGCGAAGCAAGAAGAGCTCGTAGCAAAGCTTCACCGAGAAAAGCAAGCCTGCGAGGCAAGGCACCAGGCGCTTCAAACCGAGCATGAGGCGCTTGAAAGCTCTGTGCTGGGTGTAGTGGTGCAATCCATGTCATTGCACAAGATCGAAGAGCAGCCAGAAAAAGTGGCTGACCCGCGGGCAAAGCATTCGTGCATCCTCCTCTGTGGTAAAGATGCAAACTATGCACTGATCCCTTGTGGGCACACGTGCTATTGCCACAGCTGCGTGCCGAACGTGAAAGTAGGGCCCCTTACACAGGGGGACTAAGGGTGTATACCTAGCAGCCATGCACTTCCTGCGGTGGATGGCCCAGCAGATGGTCAATCTGTAGAATCACTGTAGAAGTAGACAGCTGATGGGAGGCTCGGTGAGATTTCTGCATCTCTGTCCGATTTTGGTCTGAGCCTCCCTTGCATGACGGACATGTGTGGAGCCTTGCCTGCTGCGTGCGAGAGTCAGAGTCGAAACTGCCTCGCTTGGCTTGTTCGACTTGGAGAAAGCACACTGGTGAAGCGAGCCCTGAGGTGCCCAGACAGAACATTGGGCTGCAGCTGATCAAGGACGGAGTTACAGATGATGGAATTCCGAGACAAGTGAGAGTTCGGGGTGTCGAGGGTTTGACTTTGTAATGCTTCTTAAGGCAGGGGTAACCTCTGGGCAGTTGCTTCCGTTCAGGTTGTATAGTGTCGGGTTTCGCCGATTTGGAGTTCAGGATCATGGCCTGACCCTATTCCCGAGTATTGCGAAACTTTTCAGTGCCACCTCTTCCCCGTGTTCACTCTACTCGGACCATGGGTTGAGCCGACTTCCTAGCTTGTCGGCAAATGTTCGAGGTGAGTACTCTGTATAGTGTTTGTTGTGTGTGTGAGAACCGCACATGTCATAGATCGGGCCTGGGGCATCGGGGGGGCAAGCGGCGCTGCGAAAACCAGGTTTCCCGCCTGATACAGGGGTCGCGCCGAGAGCGGTTTCGCGTCGGGGCCTGACACTGACACCTGTGCCAGGCTTGACACGAGAAGCCCTGTGGCACGAGAGGGGCGCTAAGGGCTAGAAGCTTCGCAGCTTCTGTCGAGTTTCGCAGCTTCGATTGAGTAGATCCCCCTCTTTCTTTATGGAGGCATTAGCGTGAGGAAGCAATAAACAAGCCCAAGTTCTGTGCAGTTTGGAACAGGACCGCGCAGACATGTACAACTGGCAGTACCCCTTCTGGGATGACTCCCGGCGCACCTTGACCAGAATGGAGGTGTTGATTCTGTGAGCAGAAAACCATTGACCCCTCAATGCCAAAAACAAGAGGCGGCGGCGGTAGCAATGACGCAAGCAACAAAGATCCTTAACAGATCCAAGCCTTTTCCCCAACGACAATCTTCGCAATAAACTTGTCTTGGCATCTTGGAGTTCTTCCGACTTTCACTGCCAGCTGCAGCTGCGGCGGCTGCACCGATTGACGGCTACCGACACCAGCAGCAGCAGCACCCACTCCGGCATCTCTTCCCGCTCCTTCTCCCTTCTCCCCAAACTACTGCTGCTGTTCGTGCTTGTGCTACTGCCATACTGTTGCGCTGCCACTGGAGGATAGATGCAGAGATGCTGTCGCGAAAGCAGTAGTTAGTACCGTGACAGAAGGATCCTGCTGTTAGTAGTCGTCAACGATGTAAAGGCAGTACTCATTTCCCCATCATAGTCACACTTGTTACGGCAATGAACAAAGATGTTTCTTCTAAGGAAGACCCAGTGACTAAGTGGCCCTGTTGATGATTTTAAAACAAACGATGGCAGTAGCGAGCGCTATGAACTCAAAAGAAGCAGGAGTACAATGTACATGTACAGTTGATGTCGATGTTTGTTGCCAGTCATTGCGGAACTAGATATTTGTTGCTCCGCTGTGCAGCCGGCATCATCATCAGCGTCGCTGTTGTGATCGTGGTCTTAATGCTGATGCTGGCATAGGTACTGGCAGCAGTTGGCATATATTGGTATTATGGGAACTCCGCAAACCAAAAATGATCAGCCTATTCCACCGCCGCCCCGCTGCACAAACAAAGGAAGTTTCGCTGGCCTTCTTCGATCGCCCTGGACACCACAGCAGTGTAGCCAGTGCCCCGCACATGTTTTTGGTCGGGGTCTACAGCGTAGGATGGCCTCGGAAGTGAAAGTCATCTCATGAAACACATGATTTTGGACAAGTGGCTTGCAGGGTGGTTCATTTTTGGCCCGTCTTGGGCTATGGCTCTGGCTATGGCTTGCTTCACTATTTGCCCTGCGCTACACCTTGCCACGTGCAGTTCTCGTAGTCGCATGAAGTTTCGCGCAAGGTTCTACAGCATGATCCAGAATGGTACGAACTGGATCCAACCTGTTGGCGAGAAGGCTTCTTTGAGATCCGTTCGCCTGTGATTGACAGCATGTGCAGCATGTACACCTTTCCGGCTATTGCTACAAGTCAGCACTTTAAATGAACGAATGAGAATGTAAACTGGGCGGCCAGTTGCTTGGCCGAAGGGTTTCTCCCAAGAGCAATTCACATTGTGGCCACACCATGGCCGCGAGAGAAGCCCAGCTGAAAAGTTTGAGCCACGGGAGCTCAAGATGTTTTGGTGCTGCCTGGGTCGAGTTGTTGTGTCGGGCCGAACGAGGTTGCACACGAGTTCACTAGCTGTCCGAATAAGCTGTCTTTCAGGGACCCATGCCGCGAAAGCAACCTGGTTGCAGCCAGTCTTTCAGCGCAGCTTTTTGGTGACATCGAATCAGATTGAAGGCCTTGCCAGCACGCCTAAGATTGTGTTTGTTGCGGGGATCACTTTCTTGTCTTACGCTCGTAGCAAACACGCAAGGTTGCCTGCCTTCTCCTTCTTTGCAACTGCGCACTTCTTACGTGTCCGAAGTCTGATGTGGAAAGGCTAGCGGCAACAACTTGCCGACATTTCGATTCAAAGGGCGGGCAAGTTATGCCGCCCTAGAACGGTAACCTCCCATGGAGAGTCGCGCTTACGTAGTACTACTGTATCCTCAAGCCAAGAGATTTGCAAGGAACCTTCTGGCATGGAGGCCCCTTCTGAGTTCCGATTCTAGAAGCCCAAGTCCCAACAGTCTGATAGCTCCATAGTCAGCGAGAGCATGCGACCACTCAGCAACGGCACTGTGCAATGATTTCGAGGGGCGATTTTGTCAGTGTGTTCCCCAAGACAAAAGCAGAAATAGGCAGAGCAGGAGGCCATTGCAAGAAGACTTTCCTTGCTGAGTTAAACAGCAAGGAGCCGTCCTGCAGAGACAGCAGAAAACAAACAGTCATCAGAGGACGGCATGGCTGGTGAGGAAGGGCTGCGAATGCAGCTACAGCTATGGGCCCTTCGAGGCCTTCGGTTTTGCCAACTTGCCTTCGCAGCAGGGTTTCCAAACCCGGAACTTGCAGTGCCTTTTTTTCGTGACCCTGATACCTCTGAAATGTTTGGCTCCTACTACGGCGTACTGTTGTTCTGCTACTGCTACTGAGCATCATTTTGCCATTGCTACCGATAGACAAAGATGCTCTTGTGGTTACTGCTGTTACAGTATCATCTTGGCAACCACTTACTGACAAGCTGCTACACCACCGCTACCGCTGCAACTATCACTACTACTACGACTACCACTCCACTACCACCCGGCTACCAGTACCACTAGCATTACGACGAGCATTACCACTACCACGAGCACTACTTGCATTTCTACTGATACGGCTACTGCTAATCCAAGCACTGCTCCTACGCCTGCTACTCCTCCTCCTCATCATCATCATCTTATTACTACTACTACTACTACTACTACTACTACTACTGCTGCCGCTGCTGCTGCTGCTGCCGCTGCTGCTGCTATTACCACCACCACCGCCACCACCACCGCCACCACCACTGCCACCACCACCCCTGCCACCCCCACGACTACTACTATTACTACTATTACTACTACTACTACTACTACTACTACTACTACTGCTATTGCTATGGCTATTACTATTACTATTCTATACTGTACTATTTCTTTGCTTCCGCTACTACTACTACTACTACTACTACTACTACTACAACTACTACAACTACTGCTACTTCCGCCTAGCACGCAGGTCCCACCGGCAGAGTTCCCACCCTGGATGGTCCAATTGATGTCCGAGGCAGGAATAGACCACAAGCTTCTGCAATAAGTGGCAGCTGGGGCTGCTACCGTTGGCGGTGTGGGGTTGGGAGTTATGAAGGTTCTTCAGCACGTCGCGTTCTGAACGACCAGCAATGGACCAAGATGCTGTTTTGGGCCACGGACACCGGCCTGATGTCAACGATGCCACAGTTCGTGGCGTTGGGATCATGGCAACAATACCGTATCAGGCACAAGCGGCTTAGTGACCAACTTAATCAGTGTAAATGTTGCAAGATCGAGATTGCGCTGCTTGTGCATCCCTGCCGACCTTGGGGGCCATGGAGGTCATGCCCTTCTGTGGATTCACGAGCGTCGGAGAATGGCCAGCAGCTAGCCCTCCAAAAGAACATTCTTGCTTTGTTCAGATTTCACGAACCGAAGAGGCCCATTGCGCCTTGAGGCTGTCGGGTTTAGCTGCTCGCTCTTTTGAGCGAGCGAGGCTCCTGAATATTTCAATCGTGCGTTAAGAAGAATGCTACCCTCTACTTTTTACGAAGTATAGGCTCGGGTATAAGATGAATTCCGAAGGCAATGGAGCATTCCATTTCGACCCAACTGCAAACACAGTGCACACTAAGCCACCGCACTCGCATAGAGCATGGAAAAGCAAGCGAGATCAGGGCGATGATGTTAAGCCTCGTAGTGACTGGAGCTTCTTGGGTCTGGCAAGCTAAGCGAGAGAGTTCACAAAAGACTCTATTTATGCGTCGTGCTCAAACTTACCGGGGTTGTTTACGACAGGTCTTAAGAAGCCATGGCTTTCGGCCTTGGGTTGGGAGATAAAGAGGGGGCTGGTTGTTTCCCACAAGGTTCCTGACCGCGATAAGTGACTAGCCTAAGCGAAATACGACGCCATCATTGAGCTCAAAGACTGCGACTATTTCCCCCTAAGCCCTCGTCGAAACAAAAGGACTGTTGCAATTTGAACCTCTACACGGATGGAGCCTCGACTGTGGGCTGGCACTCAGACGACGAGGCTCTCTTCCAAGGCCGGGAGTGGTCTTCACTTAGTGGACGTCCAGGAATGATGTAGTGCTCAAAGTTTGAGACGGGTTTCGGAATGTAGCATTTAGTAGGCCGTGGCGTGTTTGGAGTTTACAGACTTCCGGTCAGTGAGTTTTGTCCCGATGCTGGTTGAGATGAGTACTTCACTCACTGCGGGGTTTCGCCGGGTGTTGCGGCTCCCAATAGGTTCGAGGTTTTCAGGGTTCACAGGGTTTGAGGACCGCGACTCCTTGGAGCTGTGGCAAAGCTCAGGGTTTGCTATATGCTATACAACAGTGGTGACATCTTCGGCACTTCCAGCTTCTCCGAAAATGCGGTTCAAGAGCCTTGGCAAGTCTCTCATGGCCGCTTAGCTGGGGCCAATGACAGGGCTTGGTGATGGTTCTGCACCTCGCCATCCCAAATATCCGTGCTGTCTGGAATTCCTGTCTTGCGATGAACGGCAAATCTCGAGAGGTCGATACCAGGACATCACGATCATCTCCATGTCCCTCGGCGTTCCGAGGAGCCTGCTGTACAGTCGAAGTTTCTTTGTTTGCTGCATGGGCGTTTCAGGGCTCTCAGTCTGCTCCATGGTGTTCAAATCAAGTAAAGGTTCGTTTTCAATAAACACTGACTGCCGAGTGTCTTCCAGAGCATAGGCAGGCAGCATGGACTTTCTCTGGCAGGAATCTGTGGTTTTCTGGTCTGCTGTGGCAAGTGAATAGGTATGTTCGGATGCGCATGACAATCGAAGCAGCTTTGAAAACTAATTACGTGCTACATACACAGACATACATATACACGTACACACACAAATACACATGTTAGATATACATAAATGTATACAGCCACGTACGGAAGCTACGGAACTGAATGTATGTCCGCCACCCCGGTCCCAGAACAACAATGTGCCAAGTTTTGCGTCCGCATGCGATGGGTTAACCTTCCAGAATGCCCCTTCCTGTCATATTCGGCACAGTACCGCTCTCCCTGTAAACCAGCTACAATTCAATCCATATCCGGCCATACGCACAACATGTTCTAATCGCTTACACACCTGTGAACTGTAGCAACGACTGGACTGCGCTGACCAACATCTCAATGGGTACTAGTTACCACAATCTTGAGCGCAAGCCTTGCGACGTGAGATGTTTCATGTTTGTCTACTGGCCTTTCGGGCCTGCACATTTCTGACGGGCATGCACCGTCGTAGAACAACAGCAACATACGATTTCGTATGGTGATCCGTGTTGTGCGCACGCATGGTGACTCACTGCCTGCCTCTCTGTCTCTATCTATCTCTCTCTCTCTCTCTTGCTCTCTCTGTCTCTCTCTCTCCCTCTCTCTCTCTCTCTCCATGAATGCTGATGGGCTTTCATGTTTCAGGTTTGAGCATCCCCTTGACTTCGATGTGCGTCCCTCGTTTGCAGGACCTTTGAGTTGCGCTACCTCTACCCGGAGGAGCATGAAGAAGCCGCTCGGCTGTAGTGCCTCGTGGACGTGGTGGAATCTTGGAAACCCCGAGGAGGAACCTCGAAACTCTGAACTCTGAACGTGACACAAGCTTCCGTTTACTACTGTGTGTCAGACTGGAGCAACCAAACTGCATAAACCAAACCCATCGGACCAGTGAGTCACGGATCTGAACCAAAGGAAGTCATCGCAAACATGGCTTCAAACATCCTAGAGAAACAGCCCTTCGCTTTAGCATAGTGACTTGATGTATACCATGTTGCACCGTCCAGGTGGCCCCTGGACAGATCATTATCGTTTTCGATCGCTGCATTCGAGTACCATTCAGCCATGCAAAACACAAGAGCAGCACCCCTTGACCTATGAGATTCTGCATAAACAGACACCTCCGTATGCTGTGTTTCACTTAGGACACCCCTCACTCCTCACCCTGGACTAACCCCATCACCATAGTCATGCAGCTTATGGCTTCGTTGCTAGTTTGATCTGTCTTGCACCGACAAGCATGCAATCCCCATGATGTCTCGTAGACCCGAAGTGCAGCCACACTTGCCATACTCACTGATTCTGTTTCTGGCAGGAAATGCCGCATTGGCATAGCAGTACGAGTTGCCATCAGGAACCTAGTCGCGGCGGCATTCGCCTTTGCAGCTCCCGCTTGGTGACTTCAAGCCCTTCCCTACCCTTCATCGTAGACGTCAGGTAGCTACGGCAAGATACATTGGCTAGAAAACCTTCTATTTTGACGCTTCCGCAATTCATAGTCAAGCACATCGGTTAGGTAGCATGCCAGAACGACATGAGTTTAGTCTGCGAGCTAGACGAGTCCTACGAATCAGAAATGACACAAGGATGCACGAGTAGAGTTCTGCCAGAGCACGCAGTTGTGCCGTCTTTTCGGTGGCTTCGAGATTTCATTTTCAGACCATGAACCTCTCAACCCTCAACTGTAATCTACTGTACGCAAATACTGATCATTAGGCATTTAGCAATAGATCTTGTCGTGTCGGCTCGTCCAAGCTGCATTCTGGGTTATCTCTTTTCGAAAGTCGAACTTCTGGGTTCGCTCAGACAGGGGGTGGCTTTGTGCCCACGATAGCACGCAGACACGACAACTCCACTGCAACCCTTTCAACCTGAGTTTGAACGTACAGGAAGTCAACAACAGTCACACCATGAGTTGTAGATGCATCCGCCACACCCGGAGTTAAGGAATTGATTTGGACGCGTTACTTCACATGCTTCAGACTGCTTTGGGGTCCTTGTGCTTGGCGGGCTTGTGCCTCTAACCCCATAGACTGCGTGCAGCAGGACAGATTGGCGAGCAAGAGCCTGTCTGTCGCGCTCCGGCCCTGCGACGATGAAGTAGTGCCCAAAGGGCCCTAAGATGAAATCCGAGACTTCAAACCGAAATCCCGAAGCCTGGGTCCACAAGAAGCCCATCTGCAGAACCGGTAGCTTTCCTCAACCCCAAGCTTCTGCCCGCTGGTCCCATGAGAACGACTGCTCCAAAAGCCTCCCGAGGATCCTCGAACAAAAAGCTTGTGTAGCCAAAAAAACAGAAGGATCCCATCACAGAGGACAGACAGAGGATGATTTGGGGTTTCTTTTCATCCGAGAGCCGGGCCATCCCTTGTTCTTGGACCTCCTGCCTGCACTAAATCCTGCAACCCCTCCACCCTCTTTTTAGTACTTTGCATGGGCCCTGCGCAGAAGGAGCTGCAAGCCTGGGGTTCAAGAGTACCCAAAGCCTGGACTCCGAAAACTCAGAGGCAGTGCTCCACCGCTTTGTGCTCGGCAGCGGGGACTTGATGACCATGGAGGGCATGGCCCAGACCCTTGCTTGCTATGAGGAGCAAAATGGACTCCTTGTTGTATGTTTCTGTGAGGCTTGGTGTTTTCTGAGCATCCTCGTGTTAAATTCACGCCGCAGGATGAAGGTAGGATCTCAGAGGATCACAGAGAACTGCCGCCAACGCACGCTCTCTCAGTGATGAGTGGGGAAGCAATGCTGGGGCCAGGCGTCAATGCTACGCCTCTACGCAACAGAACGGGCAGAAGCACAGTAACACTCGAAAGCTTGACTGTTGAGCAATGCAGCCAACAGCTAGCACCAACAAGAAGCAGTGATGTAGTGGCCATGAAAACCTAATCAGACCACAACCCGACTAAGCATTACTAACAATCGTACACACGACACAGCAGAAATGCCGCTATATCGAATGGCGCGACAGCAATTGCGGTGGTAGGCCAAAAACTCAAACAGCAAGAAAGAGCATAACGGTCGTAGCAGCTTGATGTGTGAGTGAAAACGCCCTAAACCCGTAAGGTCCACAACCCCGAAGACCCTCCGAAGGCCCCAAAGCCTCAGAAGCTCCCAGGAAACACACGCAGCACCGGGTCCCCAAAGAGCCGGCCTTTGGTGCACGGATCAACCTGACCTGGCGTTGGGTGAGGGGCTCTGCGGGCTGGAGGATAGGTTGCAGCGTGGGGTTGAAGTTGTGATTTTCGGTTGCGGATTCTGAGAGCTTAACGGTCATAGCTGGTTTTCCACATATATATATATATATATGTCTGGAGCGCTATATAGGAGTTCAGTGTGCCCATTCAAACTCGGATCGGGTTCTGAGGGTTCTGATATTCTATCTACAACAATGAGGCTGTTGTGCAGGAACTGGTTTGGGCGTTGGGATGCCTAGCGATTTAGGCAAAGCTTTCTGCATGGGCCTAGATCGGTCGCATGATTCACTTGGCTGTGCGGCACTAGCGAGATTCGAGAGCACATGTTCCGGGGCACATGTCGCATGTTTTGCATCCAAGGGCATTGGCCAAGCAATGCGAAGCCCAGCACCGCATCCTGCAGAATGCCCGATTCATTGGCATCCACTCAGGTCCGGAAGCACAAGCCGCACTGCCCTGCGGGGCACGCTTGGAGATAAAGCTGGAAGGGCAAACTCCATCATGCTGCCGCCGCTGAACCTAAAGCGGAACTAGACGTAACTAGACATGCAAAGCCTGTGTGGGACACCAGCTTTCTAGGCGGAGCCGCGAGGAAGGTAATCAGAAGAGATCATGCATACCTTTAGAGGGCTAGTAGCTTTGCCGTTTACGTCCTGGATTGGTGCTATATGCTTTGGGATTGGTGGGATTTGGCGCAGGTGCCGATCGGGAACCAACTGGATATAACAGCCTTTCCCACCCAAGAAGCACCAATTTTGTTAGACAGGGCGGAGGCAGCAGCTTGACCATGTGACTCCTAACTCAGTACTGCAGCGTCGGTCAGCGCAGAAGTCGTGAAGGAAGACCGATGTTGCCTTGCCCTATGCAGGGCGCAGCTCTGTTTCAGAGAGGCACCCAGCTTGTGGCCATTTCCCCGGTTCAGCAGAGCAGGCGCCAAGTACGCGGCAAAAAAGAAAGATGTTCTCGCCAGTCGCCTGTGTTGAAATGACACTGCTGTTGCGATACCGGCGACTCTGTCTCGATGCCAGCAGCAAGTGCCTAGCTTGCTGGAAGCTTGTAGGTTTATAGAAAGGGTAGAACTGCGAACCTGCAGAATGCCAGACATGTAAATGTAAGTGGTCCTACAGCCCCATGAAGCTTACCATCGGGAGTTCCAGCCCTCCCTTAAAATGAAGGGCCAGAGACATGTGCTGGTTGAGCTAGACACCAGCCATCTAGCACATTGCATTAGTTCAGGTGTCTGGACAGCGAGACTCGACCCAGCGGTTCGCGTTCTTTCCTTGATCGTCGGCGAGGTTTCTGTGGTAGCCCCCTTGCCTTGGATCCCGAGCCTGACGTCGTCTTCCATCTGCTGTAGCCAGCGTAGATGGAACGTGATGAGTGGCTTAGCATTGGTGAGCTTAGACATCCAGTTTCAGATACTCGACCTTCAGGTGTGCGATGATAGCTTAACACTCCATCGTGTGAGTATACTGCGAGAACTCTTTGGGCAGATTAGTCTGGATAGTGCATGTATAATTCGGTTCATTACATACTGCTCTACGTGCGCAAACTATCACCGCCACAGCCATCCCAACAACAGCCACCCCGACATCGGTTCCACGACAACGCGATTTAATGCTGCCAGCCAGCCCAGCTCTTTATTTCTGCGACCATTACGGCTGCACTGCCACCGCAATCTCATCGAGTACCCGCCGCCGTTAGCACGATCGCAACGGCTATGACGACGACTACCATCTGTGACACTACGAAGTGCGAAGGCTGCGACAACTACGTCGATGTCGACGATGACTTGGAATCTCGTCGTCACTTCTACTGCTTTGAGTAGGTCCAGAACTATCTCTGCCACTTCAGTGCAACTTCTTCTCGTGTTTTCGACATCAAATCGGGCGTGTCAAACTTCCTCTCCGGCATCATGATCGACATAGCAATGCTCTTGCTTTGTTCCTTGTGATAGTGGCATTTGCATGCGTATTCCCGCTACCTCCGTGAATCTTACGACTACGTATGACTACGACTGACATGCGCACCAGCAGAGGCTTGCGTTGCTAGTAGTTCGCAGTCTAAACAGCACTGACCCAACTCCACAGCACTAGAAAGGAGGACTACCACAGAGGCCGACACGCCACACCGCCCAACAACAATGCTCCAATCCTTTGCGCATTCCATTGCTTGGATTTCGAAGCCCTGGAGAACCAATTTTAATCCCATTTCCTGTGAAAGGTTATATGCAGCAATCACCGTGCACGTATCTGCATTGCTGGTTTCATTTGGTTTCGGAGTAAGTATACCCAGGAATGATGCATGTACATACACCAGCACGCCTATTAAAAAAAAACACATGCACAGAGCCAGTTGCCGGGCTCTCCACTGACTTACCGTTTCAGGGTTCTGAGCTTGATGTGCTCATGTGGTGTATGTAACAGGCAGGACTTGAATTCTAGCAGTTGCATCAAAGCTGTCGAAGAGAGATGTGGGCTTTTAGGGTGACGCAACGAAGAAAGCGAGCACGAGGCCCAGCAAGCGAATGATGTCTGTAGTTCAGTCGACTGCTTCCCCTTCAGCTTGATGCCTTTCCGTTATGGCACGTTATTACCATCGACATCTTCGCCGACATAGATATAGCAACACTTGTGGCGGGGATCATTGCACGCCCATAATAGCCACGAAAATGCAGTTCTGACTATGGTTCCCTCTTACCAACAGAAGCAGCCACAGCCCTAAACTTACCAGTGGGCTTCACATTCCAGTGGGCTTCACATTGCCGGGTTGGACGGACTCGGACAAGGCGTGGAGCGGAAAAGCGTGAGGTGTTTGAGACTTCGTCAGTAAGATGCCAGCTCAACTAGTACGCTGTCGAGGTTGGATGAAAAGACTAGTTTTCTGTGTCCACAACTTTAGACAGACACATGCTTTTGAGAGCTGGCTTGTGGGTGACTTTTCTTACATATTTCGCAATAAGGCCTTGGCTGTTTTAGCTTGATGGGCCCCATTTGGCACAAACGGCTTGGGAACAAGACCTGCAGCCATGCCACTTCAGGCCCTAGAAAGTCGCAGCAGCTCGTGCCATGTTCGACTTCCTTTGCCACCTTTCTGACACAATTTGCTTTGACATCCTTTCCGAAGTCTACTAGCAAGCCGCTGCCAAGCTCATGCAATCCGAGACAGCTGAAGCGTTGGGCTTCGGGCGTGCCCGAGCGGTCCGTAACTCTGTAGGTTCCCAATCTGAACTTCAGCATGACATCCCAGCTTGAACTTGGTTAAGACATAGAGCGTTCCCGAAGAGTGCAGCTGATGTTGGCATGTCGCTGGCCGCTTTGCCGCTTGCTTTTGTGCCGGACCCTTAAGCCGGTACATGGTCGAACCTTTGGAACTGTTTCCTATCCCGTGTATGGTATGCCATGCAACGAGATTCGGTGATGCCAGCCACTGAAGGCACCGGAGTGAATCGTACACAGGTTCGGGTTCAGCAGCTCTGGATTATGCATGCACGACTACACTACACATGCACTGGAGTGGAAGAGAGTGGTGCTCGCTTTACACAGTCAGAGGCGCTTGCATGCATGTTTTTGCTATCTTCCGTTTTCCAACACAGCCATTCGGTGTTGGGAAGCTGCCGAGACGGACGATCTTAGACCAGGTGCTGGCAGGTGGACGTGGCTTCGTTTAGTAGCGGTTTGGGGCAGTCTAGCCGGGCCAGGCTTCAAGCATCCCGCAGCACTGAAGTTGGGGCCGAGCTTCGGTTTGCATGTTGTACTCCCGCATCGGGCAGATGTGGCAACCGACGTGCGTCAGCTGGTGCAGAAGCGTTCGTCGTCGCATTCGTCTCGTGAGCCCAAATCACTTCTCGATAATGTCCTAACTAAAAGCAGACAGCAGCCCTCAAGAGCAGCTACGAGGCCTCCTCTTGGCCACCTGCCATGGGCAGGATGCTACCTTCGCCGAAGGCTGCGGGTTTGCAATCCAATTCAGCCGTGAGATTGGCCAAGTTTGTCAGACGCAGAAGCCGTTCTTTCCCCCGCGAAAAGCCATGCACTGAGGATGCGGCTCAAGAGATTCCCCACGTAGTGGTGGCCAAAGCGCCGAAGCAGGGCCATGGATTTGCCAACCGGAGTCGTGCAAGGCGAAGTAGTCGGAGTTCCACAGATGGAGATGGAATGGCAAGGCGAAGTCGGCGGAGCGCCACACATTGAGATGGCTCCACAGCAGCGCCTCAACTTCCCACTTATGACTTACAGCTGTGCTCTGCATGTGAGGCGAATCATGAAGTGTGCGTATTTTTTTTGCCAGATGAAGCTGAATACATACAACTACAGGTGTATATACATATTAGGAGAGACCGTTGTTTACATGAATCACTTTCCTGGTGTGATGTACATCCATTCTGACACAGATGGATAGATTTGGGTAAGCTGAGGTAGGTAGGTACAGGTAAATATATTTAGATACAGATAGATGTAGATAAAGATAGATACAGATGATTTTTTTGTAAAATTAGGTATATAGGTATAGGTGAATATATTTAGATTTACATAGATATAGATACTGATACATATATATATATACGAGTAGATAAGCATAGATATAGATGGATAGACAGATAGATACCCAGATCAACATACAGATGCAGAGCTACATAGGTAGATAGATAGATGACGTAGGTAGAAAGATAGGTAGATAGATAGATAGATAGATAGATAGATAGAGAGATCGACAGCTATGCAAGCATGTATCTTCTTGCTATGTAAGTCAGCATTAGGGCATGATCGTGTATATGCTTGCACGTGCTTAGTTGTTCTCCACTTCGCCGGAGCCTTTCAGCATTTTCTTGTGCCTGTGTATCGCTGAATGTGTCGTTATCTACGATGCGGCTGGTTTGTGCTTAATATTTGGTGCATTCAATACTTCCTCTTTGCCTTATAGACTACCTGCACGATCACAATCAGGCAATGCACTTTGTATGATTTCTCACAATACCTGAGTGCTTGGCTGCAAACACGCAGAAGTCCGGTGAATCTTGCTGCACTCTGACGAAGCCTAGGCAGGACATGACGGGCATGGGCATGTTGCAGTCTCTCCTAGAGCCCCACAGCGGGCTGATCGTGAAGCAGACGATGCGAGGATGCATCCAGGAGCGGCTTGTGTCGATACATGCTCTTGAGACAGGCCTCTGTAGGCAGCAGAGGTTCCGCCCAGGTGCGGCAGTTGACCCCTGTGATGTTGCTGTCTGGTAGGAATGCAAAGCTCTCCGGACAACTGCAGGGCTAGTACCCCCTCGTCAGGCTTTCAAAAATCCAGGGGTCAGATCAGCCCTTCCGCAATGGCCGCGGGAGTCCTTGGAGCCCCAAATACTTGTACCCCAACGATGGAATCATGGAATCCCTGTTTAACAGTTCTTGGCTGGAGAGCCCCAAATACTGTCGACACGTCCGAACCCAGAGGAGTGTTTGGGATGCGACGCCAAATCTGAGTCTCTTGGCGCTTCAGAGTCGGATTTGTGGCGTCGCGGCTTGGGCCGGGGTCGTAGCCTTCGCGTGTTGCAAGGTTACAGCAACACAAAGGGCTCGGAAAGGAAAGCATCTGCTTGTGCGTTGGCTGCGTGCTTGAAGTTGGGTGCCAGTGCGTAACGCTCAAGTCTGGGAGTTTTGTTGTTCATTCAGATCCCATGCAATATCGCGATTCCTCCAAACAGAATCACTTTCTCTGTGTTTGGGACAACTCCGACGTCTGAGGTACAAGATCGCGCCGCTAGACCCTGGTGAGATTCGAGGCGAGCTCCGCACGAGTCAAGCCTCGAGGTTTCTAGCGCTCTAGTGCTTTGGGGTTCCCAGTCGGCTTTAGGTTTCATGTGCTTATAATGGTTTTGCGTTTCAGGATGTATGTGGCTTCAGGATTGCGGGCTTGGCGGTTTAGTGTGATGTATCAATCTGCATTAGAGGGTTTTGGTTCAAGCCGATTGGGCGGGTGCGATCTGTTTTGTGGCCAGAAAGGACTCAGACAGACTAGACTGACTAGACGGCCTAGGAAACTTAGTGATCCCTAGTGGCAGTCTCCGGTCTCAGTCTTCACCCTGGGAGAGCTGGTGTGCTTCGCTTGGACCTCCACTGCTTAGGCCAGTGAAGCTGGCAAACCTATCGGAAGCGGAACGATTTCAGCCTCAAGTTAGGAGCGATGAATCCAGACCGGGCCCGCAGCTTGGGCTGCCCTATGCTCGCCAGCTATCCACTGGTGTAGCATGAGGACCCTGGCTTCCTGAAAATTTCCTGCGAAAATGCGAAGGACGTCAGCAAACTGAAAACCGCCACCTCAACAGTGGCCATTTTTCCAAGATTAACGAGCGGAGGTTCCAACATTCCGCTTAAAAGTGGTACTGCTATGTGGGGCCTGGTACGTGACAAAGTCCACCGGCTGCATCATTGAGGCCGTGTGGTCTTGGACGGGAGCATCATTGACAGTGCCGAGACTTCGTGTTCAAGCACCGGGGTTCGTTGATGTGCTCCGGCACTGAAACGTTAATCTCAAGTCCTTACACACTCGCACACGACTGCCCCCCGAAAAAGTCCTGACTCCTCAACTGAGAAGGGATACCTTAGACTGCCATGCAGCTTCGCCTCCCCGTACAATGGCACGTGCGAACAGGTGATTCTGCATCCGATCATGCTCTAGGCGTTCCGGAGACCATGTCTCTTGGCCGAAGCACTGTCAGAGCAGTAGTCGGATCAATTCAACATAAATCAACGTGGCCCTGCAGATGCTAAATTCTTTGTCCGACTCAAGCCCTGCATCCCAGGTATGCCATCGAGGAGTCTAACTGCTGCAGCTGAGCTCAAGCTGGAGTTGTTGCCTTACTTTCGTCGTGTTCGAGGCTCCAGGGACCAGGGACTAAGAGCCTTGGCTGAGGCCCCTGGTCTCACGGCCCAGAAAAGCAAAGCCTATAAATCCTTCAACGCGGTAAACTCGAACCCGGTACTGGTACTTGGGGGTTGGCAGGTTTTCTCCTAAGGACGGCATGGGTGCTTGGGACGGCTTTGAGAAGCTTGGGCCCAGGGCGTGTGAGTCCTTTTCTGTTTGCCCTGGTGACTGCAGTGGAGTGGCTTCGCTGGGACCTGGCCAGCTAGGCAGGTGACAAAAAGACGATAAACAGGACAACAAAGACTAGAACCCAGATCTTGGGATGCTAGTTCTCCAGTTAGCCTGTCTCTGGAAAGGGAACCGGATTCCTGAGGCCATCCATCGCACTGAAGACTGAAGCCCCACCTGGAATTTGCAAGTTGTGACTGCGATGAAACCCAGATCCGAAGGTTTCAACAGCGGGAAGCTCGGAGCTGTGAAAACCAGAGACCGACGCAAATTTAGGCTGCCGAGTCTGTAACCCGGCCGGGCGTGGCTTCGAGATGAACGTCTCCCAAGGCCGGGATGATGTGGTCGGTGGGTCGTCGGTAGCAGGTAGGTGGGGTAGGTAGGCAGGCAGGCAGGCAGGCAGGCAGGCAGGCAGGTAGGTAGGTAGGTAGGTAGGTAGGTAGGTGGGTAGGTGGGTAGCTAGGTGGGTGGGTACAGCGGGTGGGATGGTGGAGAGGTCGGCGGGGGTGCCCATACCGACACATTCAGTATGCCGATGTACATGCATATGGGCTAGCAGACGGGTAAAAGTTTGAACACGCGACTTGCCACACAGTATAGCGTCGTGTGAACAAAGGACGGGCAAGCCAACGTGAACGTCTAGTACACGAAGACATTCAGATGTGAACGAATGCTGCTCGTACTTGCAGACCTTGCAGACCGGGTCCGCCCGTAAGGGTGTGCATGACAGCATACGCAACGGAAGTGAAACAAGAAGTGACATAGATGCGCTGGTAGATCCGCACGAAAGACAGAAGAAAATCGCGCGAGTAGACGTCATGAAAACGTGCGCAAAAATCAAACACGCGCACAGGAGGCCCCGGAGGACCACCCGTGGCGATGCTTGGGCTGCTTTGAGCTTGAGGTCGGTGCAGAGGTGTGCTTAGCTGTTTCGTGCTTGGAGGCTGAAGGAGCAGGTTAAAGTGACAGCTGTCAGAATGCAACTCCCAGGAAGCATCGCTTTGATCCCTACACACCTCGCCAAAGGTTTGGCAACCGGGCAGGCTTGATGCCTGCCAGCCTGACTCTCCCCTTATGCCCGAGGAGGACAGGCGGACCAGACTCACAGACGGCTAGGTCGGTGCTAGCTACAATTTTCCGCAGAGCATCAACCTACCCCGGACATCCACCGACTCCCGAACCGAAGTCTTGCCCCGTTAAATCACAGCCTGACGGCTGTCAGCTTGGCACAATGAAACCCTTTTCCGTCGTCCCTAATTAACTCCTTCTCCTGGCCGAGGAAGTTTAACAAGCCCCTCACATTCCCTGCGATCTGCATGACCATCCAAAGCAAGTGCGCCGTATGTGTCGAACGGTTCTGGCAAAAGGGTTGTCGACCTAGAGCCGCATCTGCTTACTTGCTGATACACAGCCTGAAGACAGATTTGCTTGACGTTCGCACTTGAGCAATGGGGAGTGCGCAGTATTATGGATGCTGCTTCGAGTGACAGTTCCGATGCCAGTAGTTGGGGTGTGAGGTTTCGATATGGGAGTAGTCGACACCACCGCCGTCTTTGAAGGTTCAGAGCTTGGACAGTGTTCTTTAAGTGTCGCCCGCAGTTTTTAAGCCTCGCAGATTTCACTTGACAGGTATGGGAACTACGACTGCCCATGCTGTTGCTGCCTCCCGATGATGACGTCACATCTTCCGGACGGATCTTCGCTTCAGCCGTTCGGCACTGACAGTTCTAGATTCTAGGCCCGAGACGGATCCCTATTGTAAGCACTGGTGGGAGTTCCCCGGGCAACCGCAGACTCGAAAGAGGCACCAAACCCATGAGCGCCTTCACGACAGTCATCTTTGTTCACGCTCACATGACCACACCCGACGTCCCAGTGCCAACAAGCCCGTGCAATCTTGAGTTGTAGGTCTGAGTCTCGGTACTACTGCGACGTTTGCCTCTACGTTCCCAAGTTCAAATACAAGGAGGACGACCAAGAAGTGTTCCTCAGCTTCATTTTTTAGCCTGTGGCAGCGAGCCCAGGCAGTAGATAAGACTTTTGCATTCCCTGTCTCGCGGAGGTACATCGTGCATCCAGAGACCTGCTGCGGTGGTGCCTGCATCGCTTGCGACCCCTGCACCGGGAAGGGACTTTGGTACATCCCCTATTACTTCCACCACCCTGCGACCGGCGAGGTGCTCGGTGGAGAATACGGCGATCCCTACACCCCGCAGGTACGGAAGGTGTGGGCCGGTTGGAAGAAGGAGTGCTGCAGTTCAGCCGACACCTTCGTGGTCGTTTTCCCGCAACAGGCAACGGTGAGGAGGAAGGCTGGCCTTTTGGGGCTGACCTTTCTCATCGATTTTACTATCTTCGAGGGCCACGACTCCGGAGGTACTTATGCGACGGAGTAGGCGATGAAGTCATCGCTGATATGGTTCATGCTCACCTTGCTCGCGATTGGGTCTCGGTGCCTAGGGCCGTAGACTAAGAAGACAATGACTTCGAGAAGCCAAGTATGAACAAGACTCATAAGATTTCGACATGCGTTTGCCATAGGTACTTGGACCCATGACCGTGGGCAAGGCAAGGTTCCATCAGGAACAGGCCCAGAGCTAGTTGTCAATCTGGCCCACCGCGCATGTGGACACTTAGCGTTCGGGCAAGGGATCATTTATGTTGCACGGCCTGTTCTCAATTTGTGCCCCCTTACAAGGACCTATCACAACAGATCAACACCAAATTCCGTGCCAGAATCCGCGTGCGAAAGGGCAAGAGATCCGTGCAACAAGACATCGGCAAAACCACGGATAAAGCTTCCCAGTACTTCTCGGAACGCTAAGCAGCCCACATGTCCTTGAAATTGGCCTTCACGCTGATCTGCGAAGCAGAACGGCTCGGAGGCAGATTCTGGAGCCTAACCGCAAGCCAGCAACAAAAAAGCACATTCGTGTGCTGCATGATGCACGAGTGCACATGCTGTCGTTCGGGCGTGACGATCGCTTTGCCCATAGCCGCAGCTGTTCGCTTCAGGTGTTCATGCAGCCGGTGGTGTTGTTCTGTTCCTTACTTTCTTGATTTGGTTCGGCCTCCTGTTTGCCATCGCAACCTGACCCAGCACAGGGAACATCGAATGTCTTGCTGTAGCAACTCCGGAAGCTGAGCTGAAAGTGACCACGACCTGCTCTTGAACACTTTCACAAGACGACCTGAGAGGTGCTTGCCTCTTCACGCTACAGGAGCTGATCAAAGCTTCGGTGCCTGGGACGATCATGGGTCTGTCAACTTCGTTATTGCGCATTCGTGTGCTGCGGAACGAAGCCTTGTTGAGCTTCGCTCCTGCGATTGTGCTGCTGCCGTGATGTTACAAGCAAGCTGTTTGTTTTCCTGCCATGTTACAAGTCGTTTGTTTTCTGATGCTGGCTGTTCTGTACGAGACATCATAACTGCTTGGGTTTTGTGATTGTGTTTCGCCACGTTTCGCCACATGTATTTGAACCGTTCCTGCCAAGGAGCGCACCTGCTTCGACCACCTCCCGAAGTTTCTGTGCTGCCACGAGCCACCCAGCATTGGATGCTTCCGCGACGACAAACATCGGGAGCCTCGGTGCACCGAAGCCGAATAGAGACCTCGGGGAAAGGGATCTACGGAGAATCTACTGGTACGGTGTTTTCCAGGACTGTCGAAGGGCTTTTGTGATGGCTTGAGGAGTTGCAGGCTGGGGATTCAGAGTTGCCGGCTTACCGGTCCGAGACCTTTAAGGTTCAGATTTCGCATCCGCCGCCTTGCTTAGAGGTTTGATAAGTTAACTTAGGTCTCAGGACTGGTAACGGGCTAAGGCTAGAGGCCCTTGACGCATCAGTCATGAAGTGTTCAGCTGCATCAACCGCGGGTCCGAAGCCGAGCCAGGATGTCACGATATCTACAACCGAAGGATCTAGAACTCTCCCTCCAGCTTTACAGATATCACTAGAGCGGGTCGGCAAATATGGAGCTGCAGATGTGCGTGTTGATGTAGTGCCTGCATAGTTATTTGCAAGTGTCGGAACTGCTGCGGTTTTGCCATCCTTTTGTACCCTACCTGAAAGCACCATGACATTGTACTCAACTTCTTCGTCCATCTCCCAAGCAGTGAGGACATGTGCTGCAGCGAGGCGGGCTTATGGTGGCAGAGCGACAGGGAAACAAGTACCAGCTGCTGTCCCTGATTTGGGTGTTAGATACCAGAACACCGGCCGCCAACTTTCGCAATGTCCTACATGTGGTACCCACATCGCCAACACATGAAGTCGTGTTCCTTGCGAAAGTTGTGGATTGCTGATGCTTTTTGCTGATGAGTGCGTACTGTTGAATGAGAGATTCGGAGATGCCTTGAGGGATCCTTACGGCATTGTTGTTAGTGTTAAGCTGCGCTACTCCTTTGGAAATTGGATGGCTAGCATGAGAAATCATATCCGACTGGCTTGATGGAACTTTCGAGATCCTGAGTCCGCAAAGCTCAAGCATTCAAGCCGGCATTCAACCTTCATGTTTCCATGAGCTGAACTCACAAATGAGCTCATACATATTTCAAACAATTACAGAAGGTTGACCCCAAACAATTCGCGGCCGAAAGGCTTTAACAGAACTGGAGGTCCAATGCAAACGGCTCGAGAAGTGGATGGAATCATGAAATCTGACAGCACTGGGTGGATCCGTACTTATCAGGCCAAACAACAGTACCGAGGCCCTACATGTCAGGGCGTCAAGAGATCACGCGAATATCGACCATTGACCAGGCCCCGTTCTCCTCTGAGACGCTGACCCAGGACTACCTGCTCGTCCTGGTTACAGGCTTTCAGCCACGGGGCTGCAAGCCGGACCTGTACACGGTTGCTGGAGCTTTTATTTTCTCGGCACATGATAACGAACACGCTTGCAGCACAGCAGCACGGACTGCTTCACACACAGCCCCGTCTAAGACTCAAGCAAATCGGAAGTTCTGCCTGCGAAAAGCTGGAGAGGGTATACAGCGAATCTTTGACAGGTTACAAGTAGCATGACATTTTGGTGTTCAGTACGAAGCTCGGGCTCTTCATTTTGGGTCGGTTGGGGTGTTAATGGTGGCAATGCATGTGATCCATCAGCAGCTGCAACTGAAATTGCAGTGGGGTCAGCAGCAGTGCATGCATCTGAAGCCCGGAACAGGCATTGTTGCAACTACCTCGGGCACGTGTATCCTTCCCAACCACTGCATGCATCCTCGCACATGTTGTGCACGCAAGTGCGCATCTTTTGCGCACAGACAATATGTAGACAAACGTGAATTTGCGCTGTGATGTATACAGAGTAGACTGTAGACACAGTGTGCACAACCCTGGAGTGCCACCATCTGAGGGAGGTGCTGCAGCGCAGCTGCCCCTTTGCTGCGGCATTGACCCAGCTTCTACCGTACACGATGGCCCCTTGGAGCACTCGATGACATTTATTCTTTTGGATTGCATTGACACTCAAAGCACAACAGGAGCGACTCCTGGTTCGTCATGCTGCTACTGCTACTGCTACTGCTGATGCTGCTACTACTACTACTACTACTACTACTACTCCTGCTGCTGCTGCTGCTACTACTACTACCACTACCTACTAGTATTACTACTATTACTACTGCTGCTGCTGCTACTGCTCCTGCTACTGC